TCCCAAGCCCGGCTAGAATTTATTGCGGGTCGGGCTTTTTGGCCCGAGGTTAAGCCCGCGGGCCAAAAAGCCTGTTCAAGCCCGTCTAGGGGTCGGGCCACCCGGCCCATGAACAGGTTTAGGCATGATGGATAGCACTTGATGGCGCGGCGAAGAGAACACTTGTGACAATCTCCCCCACTCAATTTAGTCTTCGTCCTCGAAGACTAGCTTCTGCTTGAAGCTCCAATCTGTTGTTGATGGAGTTCTTCAGGTGCTCCACGAAGTTTATCTCTTCCAAGGCCCGGGCATGATGATGGGTGGAAGTCTTTTAAGGTGTTCTGGATGGTGGGAAAACCTATGGCTAGTCCCTACGTTAAGTCCTTGCCTGGCTGCTTCAAGGTAGGATTTTGGTTGCTCTACTTTGGTGTTAGGAAGGTTTGTGGCCAGGGCTAAGTCAAAATGATATTTTGGATTGTTAGGGTGTTGGTTCCCATGCATTTTTCCCCAAGGGTGACTCACAGGGCTACTACGGGATTTAGCCTGAGGGATGATGTGAATGTGGTCCCTAAATGGCTTGGGTGGCACTCGCTCTCCCCGGTGGTTGTGGTCGTAGATGAGGGCAAGGTTTGACACGGCCTTGGGTCTTTTGTTGGGCCCATGAATTGCAGGCACTTGCGGCTTCTGCTGCGAAGTTGACTTCTGCTGATGTGGTTGGTGTTGAAGCTGATGTTGATGCCGATGTTGGTGCTGTAACGGCGTTGGCACTGACGCTAGCGCTGACTTCTTCCTGGAGTTGTTGCATTCACTTCTGGTTGGAATGGTGGTGGTTGTAGATCTCTTTGCCATCAAAGATTGAGGTTGGTATTGGAGTTGCATGGCTGAGACTTGCTTCTTCTTGGTGTTGGTTGTGGCGATCATGTTGACCATGCAAGGTGACTGCTCATCCAAGATCATCAGGGTGTCAAGGTGAGGGGACGGTGCCGCTTTCGTCTGTATCATGAAGTCCATTCCAAGGACAACATCAAAATCATCTATGTGAACGACGAAGAGGTCAATCTCTCCATCCCAGGTACCGAGTTGTAGTCTTACTCGGCGAGCCATGCCTTCAGTAGGTTTGGCACCTGTGTTAACTGCTTTGAGCCAGCTAGGCTCTTTGGAGACGGCCAAATTAAGTCTCTTGGCCTCTGCAATGRATATGAAGTTGTGAGTGGCCCCCGTGTCAACTAGGGCCCTGGTTGGCCTCCCACCAATGGTTACGTCAACATACCTCAGTTCTCCCTTAACTGAGGTGGGCTGTTTGGAGGTAACCACTTTCTTCATCATGGCATTGAAAAGTTGGAGGGCGCCCACTCTTGGCACCTGGGTACTCCGTTCCCCATCACTCTGCTCATCATCGCTTAGTTTGGCAATGAGGGCACTTAACTTTGCTCGCTTTGGGCAATTCCTGGTCAAGTGCTCCTCCCCACAAATGTAGCAAGTGGGAGGATGACTGGGTTTCCCCCGATATCTATTGTTGTAGTAGCTTCGACTTCCTTGTGGCTGCTTCCCTTTGTGGTGCTCGACTGATTTGTGGTTGAAGGGCTGCTTCTCCTTCGGGGGACTTGGTTGTCTATATTCCCCACTCGAATGTGTGGTACGCGGGCTAGCTGGTCTGCTTTCTTCCTCATCCGACAGTCTCTGTTCACTAAGTTGTTCGGCCACGGCCATGGCGGAGACAAGGTCCTGAACATTACATCGTTGGAGCTCGAGCTCGGCCCAAGGCTTTAGGCCATCCATGAAGTTGAACAATAAGTCATTGTCTGACATATCGGTGGCTTCTAATGTGAGGGCTGAAAACTCTTTGACATATTCATGGAGAGAGTCACCATGCTTGAGAGTCTTCATCTTGCGACGAGCGAGGTACTCCACGTTCTCTGGGTAGAACTGTCTCTTCAGCTCTTGTTTAAAGTCAGTCCAGGTACGGATAACACACGTACCACGTTCTATGTCAACACACACTCTGCGCCACCACAATATAGCGACATCGATCAAATACATAGTAGTAGTACGCACCTGAGTCATTTCATTAGTCACATTGGCAGCGGCGAAATACTGCTCCATTTGCCATATGAAGTTGTCAAGCTCTCGTGCGTTGCAGGTACCCGAATAGGGAGTTGGCTCCCTAATCTTGATGTGGGAGGGAGTATATGCAAATGAAGTGTTGGCTAGATTAGCGACGACCCTCTTCAGGATTGCACATTCGGCTTTGAGTTCCTCTAGTTGAGCTTGGACGTCGAAGGAGGCACATGCGGCTGACTTCATTGAGGCCCACTCTGCTCTCATTTCATCTAGCTGGGCCGGGACGTCCCTTGATGTGGAGATGGTTCTTCTCTACGTTGCCCACTCTTTCTTCATCTCATCGAGCTAGGCTTGAAAACTATCAAGCCTGTCTTGGACCTGCGAGTTGGAGGAGCTTGCTTCTTCTTGGCGCGCAGCGCTACAGATTTCCTTGAGCGCGCCATTGATTATGTCACGGACCTCGTCCACGACTCCACTCAGGCGACCTGCCATCTCAACCAGTGTACTGTCCATGGCTTCCATGGTTTGATGTATCTCGTCTATCGAGTCTCGCATCTCACCTACGGTGGCTTCGCAACGCAGCATGCGCAAGTCAATGGCTGCATGCTTGTTGAAAGATTTCTCACGCTTGTTGGGCTTCAGTGCCTTGTCCTTGCC